GGCTGGTCGTCATTGACTATCCAAGACCTAGCTAATCTGATTCGCGACCCATTTATTCATTACAATCTACTCATTCACCACAAGAACACCTCTTCACCCAATCCTATATTTACCAAAATATCACCCACAGAGGAACCCACTAAAACCCCATGACTAAAAATTTATGGATATTTACAATTTTTATTATTTTTCTCATGTTTTTTAATATAAAAATTATATATCATGAAATGAGGGATTCTTTCAATAACGAAAAAAACAAAACAAAAAAACCCCCAAAAAACAAGCAAATATTCAAACTAAAACAAAAAAATATGTTAGTAGGACCAGCCCAACCCGAGAAAAATAAGAGCGGCCGCTGTATTCTGCCGACAGGCAAAATCAAGACGTTCACTCACTGAAGTTGAGGGAAGGACAAAATAAAATGTGGAGGTAGAGAATCAAAAGCTAACCCGGTCAAGATAAGGAGGTAAAAAACAAAATTGGGGAGATTAGGAATCTTGATAACAAACGAGAACTCCGGGAACAATCCGGGAATAACAGTCACTCACATTAGGTTCGCCTTACTGCAGGCGTTGAAAAAATCTGGCCAAAAGGTACACCATTGTCTTACATCACTTTCAGTTTTTTTTTTCTGTAATTGCTGAATTCATTTTCTATCCATATGCAGGTTGGCTCCCAATAAACATTCTGGCTTATTCTAATATCTTTCGCAAATAAATCAAGTTTCTCTTAGTGGTTGCCATTGAAGTGCCTGTGTTGTCTTTGATCTGATTTGATAAAAGCCTTTTTAGTGGCCAAGATTAAAGAAATTGGGAACATTGAGAATCCCTTTATTGTCAAGATGCCATTTCTTTTGATTTCATGAACAGCCAACCAACGTGTCATTCCGACCATTAATTACCAATACAACCCAAGACGCCCTCGACTACTTATTTCTCGTAGCCTCCGCCCATCTTTAATTTATCTCATGATATCCCCCATTTCCAACTAGGCTCCCCCTTTTTTAAAAAAATCTCTTTTTCTTTTTGAATTCATCGACTATTGTGTCTCCTCTTTATATATTCATAAATAAATTTCAACCTTATCGGATTATACGACCTTTTCTCTCTCATTTTACGTTTCTCTCCCACTCTCTCTCTTTCTTTATCTTTCTTACTCTCTCTTTCAAACACTGGGATGCTCTCTCCCTCTCTGGTATTTCAAATATTTATTCTCTCACTAATAAACTTTTCATCACAACCTCTTTGCTAAACACCACATTACTTATAATAATTTCTTTCTTTTCCTTTTTCTTTTCTTTCTTTCTTTCTTTCTTTCTTTTTTTCTTTCTTTCATTTCACTGTTCTTTATTTTCCCCTACTTTTCCGGGCTTTTTTTCTTTCTTTCTTTCTTTCTTTCTTTCTTTCTTTCTTTCTTTCTTTCTTTCCCCCCACTTTTCCGGGCTTCTTTCTTTCTTTCTTTCTTTCTTTCTTTCTTTCTTTCTTTCTTTCTTTCTTTCTTTCTTTCTTTTCCTCCACTTTTCCGGGCTTCTTTCTTTCTTTCTTTCTTTCTTTCTTTCTTTCTTTCTTTCTTTCTTTCTTTCTTTCCCCCCACTTTTCCGGGCTTCTTTCTTTTTCTTTCTTTCTTTCTTTCTTTCTTTTCTTTCTTTTCCCCCACTTTTCCGGGCTTCTTTCTTTCTTTCTTTCTTTCTTTCTTTCTTTCTTTCTTTCTTTCTTTCTTTCTTTCTTCACCACCATTTTTGGTCTTACTTCAGAGTGTTTGTTTCTTTCATTTCCACTTTTTAACCCATTTATATTTCTTTCATGTACTTTTTCTTTTTTCTTTTCTATTCTTCTTTCATTATTTTTCTTCTCTGTTCCTTCTTTTTATCTCTTTTCGTTCTTTCTTTTCCCCGTTTTAGATTTTTCTTCATTGTTGTTCTTTTTTTCCTTCTTTTTCATTTTTCGTTTTTCTTCATTTCTTTCAGTCTTTCTTTTTTCTTTTTGTATTATTTTACGTTTTTCTTCACTGTTCTTTCTTTCTTTCACTTCTTGTCATTCTTTCCTTCTTTCTTTCTTGTCTTTCTTTTCTTTCTTTCTTTCCCCTATACATTTTGGATATTTTTCTGCATCTTTTTTTCTTACCTCCATTTAATCTTTATTTCTTGTTCTCATTTCCTTTCTTTTCTTTCTTTCACTTTTCTTTCCTTCATTATTATTCGGCACTTTTTTCTTATTCTTTTTGGCTCGCATTTTTTCTTTTGTGCTTCCTTTTTTTCTTTATTCCTGAATTTCCATTCATCGTCTTCCTCTTCTTCTTCTTGCACTTCTTCATCTTGTTCTTCTTCTTCCCCTTTCTCTTCCACCTCTTCTTCTTCCTCCTCCTCCGCCACTTCTTCTTTTTCTTCTTCCTCCTTCTTCTCCACCTCTTCTTCTTTCTTCACCTCTTCTTCTTTCTTCACCTCTTCTTCTTCTTCTTCTTTCTTTTCTTCTTCTTTCATTCCTTCCTTCCTTCCTTCCTTCCGTCGCCATTTTCACTAGTCTTCTTTTCCTTTTATCTTTTTCTCATTTTGATTATTTTTCAACTTTCCGTCTCTTCTTTTTCTTTTACCTACTTCTCTCTCTTTTTTTCGCTCCTCCTCTTCCTCTCCCCACACCTCATTCCTCACTTTTTCTTTTCCTTTTTCCCTCCCCCCTTTCCTCCTCCTCTTCTACCGTCTCCTTCTTATTTCTCCTACTTTCTCAGGCATAAAGCCCAGTGCTGATGGAATTTTCCATGACGTCACTACGCATCACGCCACTTTCTTTACAGACAATAATAACCAACCTTGGCTTATATGATTAAGTAAGTCAACCGCCAGAGGGCGCGTTGGTATAATCTCCCAAACTAATCTCGAGATTGCAATTTGTTATAACGTCAGCAGTCATTTTTCTTTTTCCTTTCTTAATCAAAAGTTTCTTCCGCCGTGAAGGAAGCTGAAGGAGGAATGAATGAAATGGCAAGAGACTGAATGAAGTTGATGAAGAATGACCTCCCGTGGAGAAGGACCGAAGGAATGATGATCGGAAGAAACCAAGTATAGAACTGAAGTGGAGAAATTCCCTGAAGAAAAGAATGGCAGAAAGAGGGTAAAAAGAAGGAAATTAAAGAAAAGGAAAAAAAAAAGCATAGGAATAAGTAAAGAAAGAAAGAAACAATGAAGTAAGAAAGTAAAGAAGAGGGGATAGAAGGAGATAAAGAAAAAAATGACGGAAAAAAAGAAGGAAAGAAAACAAAGAAAGAAAGAAAGAAAACAAGGAAAGAAAGAAACCAGCAATGAAGGAATGAATGGAGGATGGATGAACAAAAAGAAGAATGAAATAAAGACGAAAATAAGAAAAGAAAGAAAAAAGTAAAGAAGGAAGGAGAGAAATTTGAAGGAAATAAAGTTAACGGACAGGAAGAAGCACGGAAAGAAAGAAGGAAACAAAAAAATGGAAGGAAAAAGGAATTATGAACAAATGAATATAGCAAGGAAGGAACGAACGAAGGAAAGAAAAAGCAAGAAAAGAAAGAAACCAACAATGAATAAATGAATGAAAGATGAATGGACAAAAGGAAGAATGAAAGAAAGAAGAAAAGAAAGAAAAAAGAAGGAAGGAAAGAAGGAAAAAAGAAAGGTACCCCAAACGAATTATGAAGAACTGGAGGAAGCAAGGAAAGAAAGTATTAAAGAAGCAAGAACGGAAAGAACGAAAGTGGGAATGAATGAAGGAAGGAATGGAGTAAAGGCAACAAAAAAGACGGAAAGAAAACATGGTAAGAAAGATGAAAAGAAAAAAATGAAGGAATTAGGGAGAGAAGGAGGAAAAGAAAGAAAGAACGAACGAATGAAGAAAAAAAGAAAGAAAGAAAGAAAGAAGGGAATATAGGATGTAGATAAAGGAAAAAAGGAAGGAAAATATCAAATTGTACAGAAGGAAAGTTATGACAGCGAAAAACGATAAAGAGAAAGAAAAGGTGATAATCACAATGAATGAAAAACAGAACGAAATGAAAAAAGAAGAAAAATACGAAGAAGAGATCAAAATTTTGATAGCACTCGCTGGCTTAAGCAAAAATGATCGAGCTGAGTTTGGCACAAGGCCACAAGTATGGAGCACCTAGTGAGGATCAAACTCATTGCTCAGTAACAATTTTCAACAAGACTATCTCGCTTAACATAACCATAATGTTGAGGTGCTTTTTTTTGTTATTTCCTAAGCTTAGCTTAAAATTCGATACAAAGCCATAAGTGAAGAACACAGGTTCGAAATCACTTCTCAGTAGTAACAGTTCACCAGACTAGCTCGTTAACCATTACTCCATTGTGCCTTGTTGAATTGGGTAGTTGCTTGTTTGTCAGTAGCTAGTGTTTTAGCATTTTTCACAGTGGTGTTCATTCTGTACAAGACCAGAGGGCCACTCGAGGTAGAGGGTTACATACAGTAAGAGGGATAGCTTATGTGGATATGTGCGGAAGATAACGGTTAACTCTAGACTTAAACAGGTTAAGATTGTAGTGATCGGGGAAGGAACCTCTTGGAAAGAAGTTAGTAAAGAATTACGGAGAACTGAATAAATGAACGTCGATTACACAGGATGTCGAATAAATACTTCCTACATATGGCCCCCAGAAATACCTCCCAGAAAATAGTAAGACATTGGTGACAATGGTGCCTTCATCTAGCTAATGGCTTATGACGCATCTAGATGACGTCAAAACTGGGTATTGGTGTCAGCTTCAAGAGTCAATGACGAAACACATTTCAATGACATTCATTGCTTGTGTGAAACCATGTTGTAGAAACAATCACTGGATTTAAGTAATTTACGGAGAACTGAGAGCAATCTGTCTTAAGTTCAAGCAAAAATGATTACAGTTTGCCGGGTGGACAGGGAAATGGTCCCATCCTTATTTCTTATTTTCCCAGGTACTCAGGTTTTGGACATTAGGGATCTGGGGACAGCAATACAGGACCGAACAGTGTGGAAAGGGATTGTCAATGGAGTTGCGACCAACGATAGGGAGGTCGAAGGATGATGATGATGATGATGAGATATGAAGCAATAAAAGAGAGAGAGAGAAAGAGAAAGAAAGAGGTGTAAAGCAATAAATGAGAGAGAGAAAAAGAGAGAGAGAGGGAGAGCGAGAGAGAGAGAGAGAGAGAGAGAGAGAGTGAGTAAGAGATATGAGTTTTCCAGCCACTGCCAACGAACGGACAGGGAAATCATCCCATCCTTACTCCTATAGCATCCTTCTGGAAGTGTCTTATCACGAAAATTGATTTTGCCAGACACCATAGCTAGGGACTCAGGGTTGGACATTGGGGATCTGGGGACAGCAATACAGGACCAAACAGTGTTGTTGACAATCCCGAAAGTTATTGTCAACTGAGTTCCGACCAACCATAGGGAGGTGGAAGGATGATGATGATGACGACGATGATGATGAGGCTGACGATGATGAATATTACTAAAACTCAAAATTGACTCATTTTTTGTTTTACACGCCTTTGTCTAAAAAAGGGATTTTCAAAATATAATGTCATCCATAAAAATAGAAAAAAAAAATTGAAATGCAAGTTATTTTTCATAATCAGCATAAAAAATACTATATTAAAAACAAATAAAAAATTGTCTGAAAATAAAACGTTTTTCTCAAAATAATTCACGGGGAAGGGATTAACATTGTTAAACACTGTGTTTTTTCCTTCTTTTTTTTCTTAAAACGCGCTCTCCTCTAAAATGATGAAAAATCTTGGAAGAATTATATTAACCACATTTCTTTATTATTATTATTATTATTATTATTATTATTATCATGTTTTGAGTCATCTCATTTGTTTTACAAGTTGCCTCTACATTTTATCCTTTAACCTCAAGAGACTGTAAGTCAACAGATCATGTTTGTTGGTCCAGTCGGTTGAAATAACATTGGCATTCTCAGCATCATTTTTTCTTCATTGTATGATGTCATAAATGTAGTTTCAACTTCTATTAAAAAGTTATTATTATTATTTGTGCATGTTATGTTTCCTCTTTTGTATCCTGTAGAGCTGGGTCCAAACTATGATCCTTAGGCCCTATAGGAAAATTGTCATTTAATTGATAGCACTTTTCTTGGTATATGGGATATTCCCAGTAGGGCAATCTTCTGCGCAACTTGTATGTTGATGTTACCTAGGACATTGTTAATAAAATTGTCCATTCATTTTCTCACGAGGCCCAGTGCTCCGATTACTATTGGTACAGTCTCAGTCTTCATTCCTTACAACCTGTTAATCTCGATCTCCATGTCCTTGTATTTGGACAATTTCTCGATACTTTTCATGGAGGTGTTTCTCTCAGATGTTACTGCTATGTCAATAAGCATACACTTCCTGAATTTCTTGTTTTTTATGAGAATATCAGGTCTGTTGGGGTTTATTTTCTAACCAGTCTTCACGTTCCAGTCTCGATAGAGTCAAAAAGCGTCTCGGCGTCCTTGTGGGTGATGAATTATTTTCCACTTTGCAAACCCTTTTCTCACGGATGAGACGTCGAAATTCTCTCGCTGGTCTTTCGCTATTTGGGGTGTGTTCACGGCTAAGACCCACCATGCCACCCACATTGTAGCGAGCCACCCTTATTCTCTTCATATACCCCCGGTGAGATGTAAGTTGCAAGCAGTTTCTTCCCACGAACCGCTAACCGACTCCCAAGGGGCTATTTCCCCGATCATTACCTATTTAAGTCTAGAGTTAACTATTATCTTTTCCCCGTATCCGCATAAGCTGTACCTCTTTGTAACCCTCTACCTCGAGCGGCTTCCGGGCCTTGTATAGGGGGAACAGCACTGTAAAAAAAACAAGAAAAATTAATATAAAAAATAACACCTTATGCATAATAGATAGCACCTGCATAGGTACAAGATAGGTGGTATTACAGATGTGATATATACAACGTATTCTTGGACAACTCGGCGTGGTGTAATGGTTAGCAAGCTTGTCTCGCTAAAACAGTTACGACTGAATAGTGAGTTCGATTCTCACTGAGTGCCCCGTACTTTCCGCCTTGTGCCAACATCTAAGCCACGCTTGGAAAATCGCTGTAGAATGTATTCTATCTTCTCTTTTAATGGACTATTCCAGAAAGGACCTAATAACAGTCAGCCAGTTAAGTGCCATCATGTGATACACACTTGGGCGATCATATCTCGTTTAATTCATAACTGACGAGGCAGAAAATTTTCCCGTAATCGGTTGTCTTTTTTTTCTGCGGTAGACTGGTTGCCAACCAAGGCTACAGAAACTAGTCTGTCATGATATTCAACCTAGAAGATAGATTCTTACAAAAACGTATTTGAATGTAATGAATCCAACTAGAATTCGAATCCTCTATTTTACTTCGACCTAATAACTTTTAAAACCAAAGGATTTCCAAATTATGTCAGTGACCAGAAAATTGGTCTTCTTCTAGTCTGTCTGCCAACCAAGGCTAGAATCCAGTCTATTCTTCTATCTTACCCATACTTCCTTACTGGGGCAAGCAATTATGGTTTCAGACCATTTCCAAAGATATTTCCGTGAAAGTGAACGGAATGATTTTGGTTGGAATTTGAACTCGGCACGTCGATTTCATTTTTCGTAAGCATTCATCTACCACTCTACAATATGTCCGACGAAACCATGACAATTCACAAATAATATAGAAAAAGATTATGTAGAAAACTATGCTCGTCTCAGTCCTGAAGGGACATGACATTTAAAATATATAGCTTTCTTTATAGTTTAATTTTATCTTCGAAATTCTAGGCGTATCCATTTCATGTTATCTGTGACTGCCATCTTGAAATAGCTGTTATTTCATCGCTATCAGATGAAATGTATAGCTTATCTGTCACAAAATAACCTGCTCGTCGTCAGGGGCAGCATGACGTGTCTAACTGCAATAAAAATAAGACAAGGACAGAGGTCAGAGGGTATCAGTTATTCAATAAAAATGATAAGCGCAGGAAGATGTTATCTTAATGACGTCATGGAAATTTCCATTTGCCGTCTCTTTTATTCTGATTATCACCCATAATTTTTCTCGTTCCATTCTCAATTCATTTCTACACAAAAATTCTCATAGTAGCGTTATAACCAAGCAAGGTATTAACACTGTCGTGAATTCTCCTCACTAATGTGGCCTTGAGTCAGCCAAAACCAAGCTTAATATAATAATAATAATAATAATAATAATAATAATAATAACCAACAAATGAACTGGAAAATCTGTAACTTCTGTGGGAAGGAAACTGAAAGAAAGTGGTATGAACACGACCCAGACCCGGTTACGGAGATAGGACCTGTAACAATTTTATGGGACTACACAATACACATTGACAGAACAATCAAAGCCAACCGCCCAGATATTGTTATTAAAGACCACAAACAAAAAAAGTGCCTCCTTATTGATATAGCAGTCCCTGCAGACTGCAATGTATCTGAAGATATTCAAAAAGCTATCAAAATACCAGGACCTTGAAATAGAAATCTAAAAAATGTGGCATATGGGAACATCAACAATCCCTGTTGTAGTTGGAGCCCTAGGACTGGTTGGAAAAGATTCCAGTAGACTAATTGAAGGGATTCCTGGAAGTCCATGCCTTAAAGAAATACAAAAAATTGTTCTCACGAGTACAGCCCACACCATACGAAGGGCTTTGTCTCTGTAAAATATGTGATCTTTTTTTTCAGTGGAAAATGTCCTGATGCCATTTCTAACCTTAGGTCCCTGGGCGGGACTCGGAAAGAAATGAGTGTACACTAGAAATCAAAGGAAATAATAATAATAATAATAATAATAATAATAATAATGGACTCTCCCGTTGTTTTCGACGTATGAGTGTCTTTCAGTTCAGTTTTTATGTTTATGTTTCGTATGAGACATCAATCCTGCACGGGATTTGCAAACAAATCCACACGAAGGCCATACTGAAGGGTTGACCGTCATGATATATATATATATATATATATTAGCCCGAGATTTAGTGTTGCTTCTTAATTTTCCCAGATGGTTCAGACGATTCTTTTCAAGGTTAGTTATACCTCGGTAGCAGGTGTTCAGTTTCCTCGGTTTTTAACAGCAAGTTCTAACTTTTTATATATATATATATATATATATATATATATATATATATATATATATATATATATATATATATATATATATATATATATATATATATATATATATATATATATATATATATATATATATATATATATATATATATATATATATATGTTAGTTAGATCCAGTAAGAGGACCCAAAGAGTGTGAGTTCAATACCCGGTTAAGGCAGTAGAGAACTTGGAGAGGGGAATTTTGAATGTATAAGTATATATTTGGGATTGTAATCATTTTTTGCTACCATAAATAGATGCTGATCAAAATTAGGCTTGAACGGTGAATTATTTGTAGGTCTACGTTCCCAAATATATTGTATATTCCCCCCCCCCCACCAAGTTCAAATACTAGTCATGGGACAAAAGATTGCATTAACTTAGGAGTCGTGTATGGGGAAGAAAGAGGATACTTGGAACAAGTTGTAAAAAAAGTGCTAATTGAAGCAGTTACTTTGCCACTCGACGTTGCAGTATCTCGAAAAGTGTTCAGCATAGTGTTTTAAGGGGGTGTCACTAAGAGAATCCGATCTCGACTGGGCAGTTCCAGTTGGTGGGATTACGAGAAGATGGTCGTTCAGAGACTTAATAAGTATCGGCGATTTGGTGAGGTCTGGATCGTGGTGGCATTGATACGCTATTTGCCTGGTGGCTTGGCGTAATGCGTGCTCTTCGGCTGGAATCTCAATTTGCAGCAAACCAGTCAACGATCCGTATCACAGTCGGCGATCTGAAAAGACCCTTCAGATTAGACGCTGATGTCGGAGGGAACGGGCGTTTTTTTTTTTATACTTGAACCAAGCCTGACTGTATAAGGCATTAATATTATCGAAGAGGATTTCTGTGTCTTTGAAGAACCTGATGAGCTAATGTTTACCCAGAAGTCATAGACAATCCTTATTTATACCAAAACTACTTCTATAATACAGTAACATTTAACGCACATCGAACATTGTTGTTGAAGTATCTACTGGTCCAATGTTTATCCAGACCCCGTAAACTATCCTTTACTTGTACCTAGCCTGACACTAAAATAACTATTAACCTATTAAAGCC